AAAGTATTAGAACACACTTGAGACTGAGGAGGGGGCAGGTTGAGCAGAGAGTGTCTCTTTGGATGATAGTTGCTGACAAGAATGCAAATAAAAGTATTTCCTGTGGTCAGACAATCTACCTGCAACCTCCTCTTTCCCCTCACCTTCCACCAATGATTCCAGTACTACTTGTGCTCCAAATGCCTGGGGACTGGCTGGTCATTATAATGATTTTTTGTTCCCCGTGGGACTACGTGATTCCTAAGACGACAGATGTGCTTTCTGGGATCATTGCTACAAGTCTGGTAATGGGCACAGCTAGAATAAATGAACAGCTTCTGCTTTCACTGCTTGGCTAACAGATGCACCGCAATGAGGTAAATGAGGACAGAGACTGGCTTAATTATTCTATCTTTGCTGTGAGCCATGTGCCAGCTACACTGAGAGCCTAGTTCAGCAAAGCACTTCATAACTATATAATTTTAAGCCAATTCTTAAATACTTCAAATAGGCAGTAACATATGATCTTTTTTTTTTCCTTAATCAAAGTTCAACACAGCAGCTTTCTTCCCCAAACGATCCCAACCCTCAAAAAAGATTAACCAATGATCAACCTAAATTTCTGACTCACTGATTACAATGTTTGCAACCTGCTACCAATTTTGGTCAAGTGCTTATTGCTGCTTATGAAAAATTTAGCACATTTACTAAACAGTAACTCCTTATTACACTCTTCATATTGCAACAAAAGTTCCAGATAAACGTCCTAACTGAAAAAAGCTTCAATGTCAAAACTGCGAACAGTGTGAAACAGCTTGCATCATGCATTGGAACCAAACTGTAGCTCTGTGTTTAAGAAAAAATAAACATGGTAAAACCCAGTGGATGTTAGTATACGGTGTTGGTCAAATGCTTCTTTTTTACAGATTGTGCCAAAGGGTATGAGAGCATGCCAAAACAAATGAACACATAATGATAATGTAATCATGATTACAAATATAGAAGGAAACATCTGAATGACAAATACATATGATGACAATAACATATATAGGAAAGCATTCAGGTTGCCAAAATATCTTCAGAAATGTGTAGTGTATGTGTGTCTGTGTGCATGTATGTATATACATATATGATTTGTTCAGAGAATAATTATTGGAATTCAAATGTGCTAGCAAGTAATTTTCTTCATAGTCTTATCAGTGCTCTCTATATTCCCTGTTCAACATGAACCAAATGCCCATATACGTAATTTAGTATTTAGTAATTATATATACAATAATATACGTAATTTAGTCAAAAATTTTGACTCAATGTGAAGAACCCCAGAGTAGATAAAAAAAGTATCTTTTCCCTTGTCAAAGATGTATTTAAAACTCTAAGTTCATAACTAACATGTTGATGGCATAGGGTATTATTATAACTAATAAATATTCAGTTGTGCAATAAAGTAACTAAATGTTAGTATTAACACCTTCATGAAAGCAGCTCAGAAATTTACTTCTATTTCCAAATTAAATATTGCAACACAGTATAGATCTCATCTTGCAATAAGACTTCATACTAACGAAAGCAAAGCCATGTGAGAATATATTTTTCTGACCTATCCTTAAGCCT